GGCTTCTCACGCTTTGACAATAACAAAAATTCAGCAAACTCTTTTCATGGAAATCAAACTGAAGCTGCACTTCCTTCCTCCTTCCTTCCTTCCTTCCTTCCTCCTTCCTTCCTCCTTCCTTCCCTCCATCGACTGGATCGATTGCTGTGTGCCTGCTCTCTTCCCTGCAGGCTACAAGCAACATCAATCATGTCTTTTATCAGAGAAGCCAGTGTTGCTCCTTCTCTTTGTGTGTGTGTGTGTGTGTGTGTGCGCGCGCGTGTGTGTGTGTGTGTGTGTGTGTGTGTGTGTGTGTGTGTGTGTGTGTGTGTGTGTGTGTGTGTGTGTGTGTGTGTGTGCGTGTGTGCGTGTGTGTGTGTCCATCTTTCCTATAATCTATCCCGAGCTGAGACTCGAATGCTAGCTAGGAGACCTGTGTGTTTACTGTTTGCGTGTAAATCATCCCGAGGTTCGCTCTGGAGGTGTTTTTAATTTAATCATCACCGTCCCAATTTAAAAGAAAACACGTGACATTCTTTGTTAAAACGTTTTTTCCGACTCTAGAAGAAAAATGGATCTTTAACCAGTAAAGCTATCATCCTGGTGAGAAAATGTTCCATGGTCCAGAACTTGATTTGTGACGAGAGGAAGGCCTGATTTAAAATAAGAAATAAAAATGCCCAGAAGATGCCGCTCTGCTCTCTGGCCTCGACCAGGAGACGAGCTGCCATGACTTCAGACACAAGCACTGTTAAAAATACATGTATACCACTCCTCATCACTTATTGATGACCTCTCCTCCCTTTATGTTGATGAGGTGAGAAGCCCCCCATGGCCTTCTGCGGTGACCCCGAAAATCCACCGAGGTGTCCGTGGAGCTGCCTGCTCCTATAATTGAGCCCACCTTCAGATACATTTTAAAAATAAATAAAAAAGAACACAAACTAGTTGTGCACTATAATAAAAAAGCACGTTTTTGAAGTGGTTAAGAATAAAATCTTCTTTATCAGAGTGTAAAAATGTTTAAAACTGATAAACTATTTAAAATAAGGATTTCCCTAAATGATAAAAGCAATTTTTAGTTTACTCATTAAAAGAATCAAATAAAATAATTTTTAGAAACTTTTTGGAAATCTTTTAGCTTCTCAAATACAAAATAGCATCAACAAAAACTTCATAAAGTTTAAGACATGTTTGAAAAAAGAAAATAATTTCACATTTCCTTCATGAAAGTGCAAAAAAACACAAACGAAGGCTTTCACCACGTCATGTAGTAAATAATGAGTAGTTTATTTTGAACTGTGATTTTGGAGTATAAATACTTACTGGACATCATATTCTTCTCTTTATTATTAATATAATTTCACTCTGAGTGGAAAAATTAAAAGCTTTGTTTGCAGAACTTTTTTCAGAACACAATATTTGTACCTTTAACAGCACAGATATTATTATAGGAGATTTTATCATTTAGTCGCTCTTTTTGGGAGCAGCTAAACAAGAATTTGATTTAATCACAAATATAAATATCTCATTTTATACAGAAAATATATCAGATCATTTATTTATTAGAGTTACCAAACATGTATAATTTGAGTAAGAGTTTTGTTTCTTTTTCTCTTAGAATTTGTAAACCTAATAAGTTTTATGTTCATAAAAACAATATTTAAATGTCATTAATTTGGTTTTATATTCTTTAATATTCACCATACATCACATCATTTATTTTTACAAACTCATTTTCTTCTGCACTTTTATATTACAACATTTCACTTTAGTGTTGTGTCAATTAAACGCCACCTCGAAACGCTAGTAATTTAGTTTTATTTTCAATAATAAACGTTATTAATTCAGACAATTTATGGACAATTTTTTCTTGCAATTAGTTTTGCAAATTTGTCTTTTGATTCCATCCCTGAGATTAATAAATGTGTCATCTGCAGACCTAATAATGATAAGTAGGATAAAGATATGACTAAAATGTATATACATATACATATACATATTTTCTTTGATCTTAGCAGCATTAGTCTTTATGTCAAACCATAAAACATAAAAAAGTTAATTTTTAAACAATGTGTTAAGTCCTCAATACCAAAGCTGCATGGTTTTAGGGCCACTATTTGCTGATTTTGATTTTCAATGTTCAAAGCCAAATAGGGTTGTATCATCTGCAAACGTGATGATACAAATGTAGTTTAAGCATAAATACAACTTTATCAATTTTATGTTATGCACTATTGTACTTTTTATTATGTTGACCAACAAACACTATGAGTTTGGATTTAGTTTCCTCGTTGGAAATAATCAATCATTATCTTTTCATTCCTTTTACCAAGTATTGTTTAAAGATTTACCCCTGAGCTAAAGTAGTGTGTATCATCTGATTGTAGCTACATGGTAGTTTATCTCAAAAACAATTTAAACAAAGAAATAAAATTAAAAAAGAATGAAGTGAGATCCCAATACTGAACCTTGTGGAACACCACAGGTTTTTTTTCTCTTCAGCTGTTACATTATAATATTGACTGGTGTCTGGCTGTTAAAGTACCTATCTGTTTTTACCTGTGTGACAAATGAGGCCAAAATGATCCTATAAGCAGCAGTTTTTTTAATCAGATTCCTGGAGGTCATCTGAACAGTCAACATTTTGGAACTACTCTTAAAACAGACCTCGCTTGTGTGTTTATTTGTCTCCATTGCACGGTGTCTGCACCTCATAGATGTTTCCCATGTTAAGGTTGAGAGCAGATCATTTAGGTTGCCCCCCCCCCCCCCTCCTTTTTAGCTGTCCTTGCCATCTTCCTGAATGGTTTCGTCTGGCAGTCATGCACCCATCATTGTTGGGTTTACTCATTGCTTGAGGTATCCATCAGGTCCCAGAGGCATTTGCAGGGCTGGTTTGGCCGGTGGGTGTCAGGGCCTCGGGCTGTTTTTTTATTTCCTCTGACCAAAGCGGCTGAGTAACGTGGCGGGGGGGGGGGGGGAGATTTCTGAAGCACAACGAGGTATTGATTGAGTAATCTGTGTCATCTGATAGTAAAATGTCTCCGACTGGCCCCCTGCTGAGCCGCTCTGTGCTCTCTGGGAAAAGCAGAATCGGCTTAAGAGAGAACAAATGTTGTAACATGTTAGAAACGGGTTCTGTTGGATAATCTGGTTGTGTTTTTATGGGATTTCAATATGAAATTTTTAATTTGTGACCAATAAAAGTATGCAGACTCAAAGTCACTGGACTGTTAATCAGGTGATTGGATCTGACTCCAGCCAGTCCAATCCCTAAATACTTACAGTTTGTGATGGAGACCCCTCAGATGTTCTCACATAAAGTCAACACTTGACTCTCAGTAAAAACGGGCTCATTGGTCTGAGCATCGGCCACAAGCGTGCATCTGGGAACCTGCCAACCCTGATTTGGTGGGGTAGCAATAATGCGGCTGTGTAAGCGTTCGCCTTTATGCAAGGAGATCCTGCAGTGGGAGCACATCCGCTACTCCAGTGCAACATCAGTCCACAACTGCAGGATTGTTAGGCTGCATAAAGTGGTGGTGACAGCGAAGCGGAGGCCTGTTGGATTAATAAAGCAGACCTGAAGTCAAAGCCTTCCGCAGAAAGTCGACCCATCAGTCAGCCTGTAGAGTCGCCCTATTGTTTCTGCAAAATAGATCAGTGTGTGTGTGTGTGTGTGTGTGTGTGTGTGTGTGTGTGTGTGTGTGTGTGTGTGTGTGTGTGTGTGTCCATCTCCAGCCATCCTCTCCAACCCTCTGTGTGATCGGAGAGGAAAGCTTTCATTATTTGCTGAGATTGGGATGTCGATCCCGGCGCCCCTGACTCAAGTTTGTAGCCCCCCTCCCCTCATCTGGGGGGAGATGAGTGGGGTTATCTCCCCTCCCTTCCACCAGCCTTTCATTCCTCCTCACAGCCCCCTTGTACCTCCAGGCGAGGAGTGGATCTCCTCTTCCGTGTTTTTTCCAAATTCCAGCTCTCACCTTTGCTAATTCTTCACAAATCGAACAACACAGCTAATCCGACTCACGCCAACTCTTTTGCTCGTTCTCCTCCACGAGGAGGCAGAGATTTATTTGGATGCAGAATCACAAATTAGATTTCTGCAACCTCTTGCTTAATATTTACTTGAATGCAACACAATCGTGGAGTTAAATTTAATCCTAATGTCACGTTAAAATTTCAAAAGCATATAAAAGAAAAATAAAACGTTTGTCCTGTGGTGCTAAAAATCAAGCTCGTGTTTTTGTTGTTTTTGAACATGTCTCATTCCTTTGCTGCACTTTAAGCTTCAAAAGTTGCTCCATAGTTACCCAAACGCATGCAGCACGTGCTATTTAGCAGGAAAATCACTTAGGGCTCAATTCTGTTGTTTCTCATCTGGATAAAAGCAGATTTAATCACATCATTTAAACGCTTTTGGTTGGTCTGAGCACCAAATGTGTAAATGAGATGTTCTGTGACTGAGGCAAAAATAGGCCACGTGATTCTAGAACCCATTATTCCTCTTCCCTGGTGGATTCTTAGAAACAGAACAAAAGAGCGCCTCACTGGTCCTCTCATTTAAAGCTGCACCAAAATATTGCACTTTAATTTGCTTATCGTCAAAATATTTTCCGTTTCTTGTTTTTGTTCAGATTTTTCCTATATTATTATTATTATTATTATCATTATTATTATTATTATTATTATTATTATTGTTGTTATTATATTATTGTTGTTGTTGTTGCTATTATTATTAGAGTTATTACCAATATTATTATATTATTATTATATTATAATTATAATTATTATTATTATTACTATTGTTATTATTATATTATTATTGTTATTGTTGTTATTAGAGTTATTACCAATATTATTATTATATTATTATTATTATTATTATTATTATTATTATTATTATTATTATTATTATTATTATTATTATTATTGTATTATTATTATTGTTGTTATTATTATTATTGGGGTTTTATTATTATTATTATTATATTAATATTATTATTAGTCTTTGGGATTAGGAAGAGCCACTGTTCCTCAGCCTCTAAGCCTTTTTTCTTTCTCTTTTTAGTCTTTCGGGATCTTAGCTGCACTCCATCCGCACTTCATTAACCCTGAGCCGGGGACAATCCGCGGTCAGAGCCGGGGATTTGCACCAACACTCTTTCACATGGAAATAAAACCAGACTGAGTCGTGAAGCTAATGCGCGTTGCGCCTGTTTGCTTTATTCTAATCAGTTCGCGTCGTTATCCGAATCGGTCACGGATCCATGATGGGACTCTGATGATCTTTCTGGAGCAGTTTGGGAGTTTTTTTTTTGTTTGTTTGTTTTGTTCCTTTTTTCTCCTCTTTAACCTCCGAGGCTCCAAAAACCTGCTTGGCTCGCTTCGCTGTGTTTTTATGCAATTTTCCGCATCATAAAGGCGCAAAGTTGTCAGGCCGTCAGTCTGATGTCTCCTGGCCACCAAGAGGGTGGCGTGGGGGTGGATAACAGGTGCCATGCGCGGAGGACAGCAGGGCGAGCTGGCTATCAAACCCATTATCGACTTTCAATTAAAACCGATTAAAGTCTTTTGTCTGATCGTTAACATCCAACACGCGGAGGCTTGTCCGTCAGCCCGGACGCCTTTAACCCCCAACGCGCCGCAGACGCACGGCACGGATCCACGCGGAGGGAGGGAGAGAGAGAGGAGCGATGGGTGAAGGAAGGAGGAGGGGGTGTGGAGCCGCTGACCAGCTGTCCCCGCGCTGATCCCGGTCTGCAGTCAGCTCCAGCCCGGTCAGCAGCTGTTAGAGCCGTTTGGCACCGGAGCGCACATCCAGCACCCTCAAGGAGAAGAAGGGTGGAAACAATCCATTTCCAAAATGGGGAACATTTAAGGCACTTAAACAATTGCGCGTGACATTAATATTTAATGTCTGCATTGTGTTTGGTGCTTTTAATTTCAAAAGAATGATGATAATAAAGGAGGGAGGAGGAGCATCACGCACCTCTTCCAAAACCAAATCCGATCAGAGAAGACAAGAAAACTCATTAGGAGTCACATTTTTTGCAATAGTTGATGGAAATGATTCATACTGAACATAATTAACCTGTCCGGATATGTCGCTGCTGCTTTTGGAAAAAAAGTGAGGAAAGGCGCGCTTTTATTAACTGTTTTCCTCCTTAAGCTCAACAAGGAACAAATTAAATAAGCCAAACTAAACCAAACACGCGGGAAGAGAAGACAAATTCACTCAAACACGATTTTCCTCAAACTGCTCTTGGCTGCGTGGAGACAAGATGTTTCAATTAGAATGCCAGGAGGCATCTCCGGCTCCTGTTATATTTTAAACAGGTAAATAAAACCTGGAGCTTCATTTAGATGGAGGGCTTTATTCCAGGACCCGGAAAACATCTGATTTTTGTTTATTTCTGTGTTTAATTTTGGCTGAAATCAGAGCTTCTCCTGTGATTCTGGCTGCATTTCTTCTCCTCTGTTGGTGATTTTAAATCTTATGATTCTGACAATAAAGTCAAATCCACGTGTTGATTCAGGTGACGTCATTTTCGAACAAAACTCAAAGAGGAATAAAGCAAAGACTTTTTATTTCCACATTTATAAAAGTAATTTCTCTTTCACATCAAATCCCCCTCTCCTTCCATCCCCCAGCCCCCCCGCCCCATCTCTGCTGCGCGCCACAAATGACATGAACTTTGTGTGTGTGTGTGTGTGTGTGGGGGGGGGGGGGGGGCAAAAGTTCTGAGAGGAACGAATTCTTTTAGAAATAAAAAGTAAATCAAATTAAAATATTTAAAAAACGATCCGGGAAATATACGAAAAGCACTCCACAAGTTTGATATCTGCAATAAACATTTTCACCAAAGGAGAGTTAGAACAATGACCACAGCTGCAAATAACAGAAGGAAAGCACAACGTCTGCTCAAACACAACGAGCCAGCAGGAGGTCACCTGTGTGGACCCGAGTCCCGGCGGAAGAACCATCTCTGGGCCGGCTGCCTTCAACCCGCCTCGGACAGAAATGACTTCAGAACATCAAATAAAACAGAGAAAATCTCCATATGGATCTGCTCGTGTCCAGGTGTGTTCCTTAAGCTGACTCCAGACAGGTCCATCCGGTCTTCACGCGTAGATTTGATTTAATTATTCACGTTTTTATTTATTTTTTCTGGATTTAACATAATCTGTTAAAACTTGATCACGGTGGTCTGAAAAAAAGAGTTTCTTTAAAATCAGTCTCTTCCGGTTTAGAAATGAAAATATTCTTATGTACAGGTTTACAACTGCTGAACACGTGGAGGCAAAAAGAGTTTCCATAAGTAAAAAAAATATTGTTGTCTAATCTAAATGATATGTATGCTTTATAATAACAATAATAATAATAATAATAATAATAATAACAATAATAATAATAATTGGCTTTATGGGTCAAATGTGCCACCAACAATTTGGAGTCTGTTGGAAAAATACTGAAAGTGGGTTTGAATAAATACTTAACTTAGATGTTTTAATTCGACTGGAAACATAAATAAATAAACAATAAATAAATAATATTTTGACGAATAAAATTAGCAAATAAAAAAACCCAGAAGTCTTTTCGGATCTGAGGCACGAACCTCCGTCCTTGTTTATCCTAATCGGCCGGTTTTTGTCCCCTAAAGGCCCAAAATGTTTCTATTGTTGTCTTCTGCGTTTGCAGCTTTTTTTTTCATGGTCACGGCTCCGGGACATTTAACGGAGTCATGTCAGCGGCTCACCGCTGCTGAGGCCGGGGAAGCACGCCGGACATGGGGGGCAGAGGAGGTGGCGGGGGCGGCGCCTCGCTGCCTCCCTGCAGGCCGTGCAGCAGGATGCGCGGGACCAGGGGTCTCTGTAGGGCCGGCGGGGGCGCCGAGGGGCCCCTGTATAGGTACAGCGCCGCCCCGGGGTCCAGGTTCGAGACCAGGCTCTGTGGGTAGAAGTATGGGGACGGGAACATCCTCTGCAGGGCGGAGTAGTTCCCAGCTTCCGCCAGCAGCTCCAGTCCGACCGCGGTCTGCCGCTTCCACTTCGTCCTGGAACGGATCAAACATCCTGTTTTAGTTTGGAAATATTCCCACTCGCTTCACCTGGAATCCTGTTGCATGTCAGGAATGTTTTCTGTTTTTACCTTTTCTGTCCTCAAAAAAAATTTTAAAAAAAGGAAAAAGAAAGAAAGAAAGAAACACCCATAAGATCACCCAAACCTCCCTCCTGCACCGCTCCTCACACCTCCTCCTCCACCCGCCGCCGCCGCCGCCGCTGCTGCTGCTGCACTCCGCGCAGGTGAATAATTCATAATAAAGATAATTGAGTGGATATAGTCGTTTCTTTGAATTATTAATATGCACACATGCAACGATGCATTATTCATAAAATACTGCAACTCCAATAGTGTTTTTATATTTATTTATGTCATTTAACTGCAGAAACGCACACATAAAAACACGAGTTAGTTTAAGGCAGGAACAGGTTTGTTTAAGCGCGACTTCGAGTTTAGCATTAAACCATCAGAAGGTTTTGGGTTCGTTATGAAATGTTGAATCTAAAACGCAGAAGGGACTTCATTTTACTTCAAATGACACAAACTGTCATCCAATCCAAAATAAACTCCCACAATACAGTGTTTTAATAATCCTGTCATTTATATATTTGGTTTGCTGAAATTAAACAACATTTTTATTTTATCTTAGAAAATTATCAATATAAAGTGTATAACTATTAATAGTGATAAATAATACATATCATCTACTGGTATCTTTCAGTGCACGCAAGGTCACGTGACAGACAACAAAACTAGAATCAAAAACATCAAACACAAGAGTAAAATCAACAGAAAACCAGACTTAAGTTTGATTTCTTGGTGATTTAGTTCGAAAAATAATTGTTTTGATCTTGTTTTTTTTTTTTTTGTAAAAAAAAAAAAGATGAAAAAATAAATCAATAATAAGTCTGGTTTTGTGATCCCGCCATGAAGAGATTATCCTCCTCCCTCCTCCACCCCCTTCCCCGTGACTCACCTCCGGTTCTGGTACCAGGTCTTGACCTGCGTGTCTGTGAGGTTGAGGGAGGCCGCCAGCTCCATGCGGTCCTGGACGCTCAGGTACTTCTGCCGCTCGAAGCTGCGCTCCAGCTGCGCCAGCTGGTGGTCCGTGAAGGCGGTTCGGGCCTTCCGGGGCTTCTTCAGCCGCACCTGAGGACTGTCCCTGCTGCTGGAGATCTCCCTGTCCCCCTCCTCTTTTACTGTTCAGGACACCGAGATGAAAAAGAAAAGGACACTAAAATGAATCACGTGAAACTGAAGCGACATAAAACATTATTTCATCCTGAAACATTCTTAATATTTGATTTATTTTCACAGGAAACGAACTGTTTTTAACGGTTCTACTAAGTGGGAGACATGCTAACCAAACCTATGTTGTGTAAATTATTTCTAATATTTTACATCCAACATTCTGGCTTTAATAGTCCCAACATCCCCGATCCGAACTCCTGCTGGTTCTGGAAACGAATGAAAACTTATTTTATAATATTTAAAACATGTTCCTGTTTATTTCCAGTCAAGATAACCTGATCATCTGTCAAAGTTTGGTTCTATCTGCTGGTTTTGAGGCTAAAAGCTGTTTGATTTGACGTTAAGTTGTTCTGAAAAGCTTCTCCAATGATCTGATGTGGTCCCGTCAGCAGAGCCGCGACCTTTGTTCTCCCTGACTCGTTCCAATGTTCTACTGATCATCAGATGTGAGAGGAAAGAGAAAAGGGGAGAAACGAGCAGAGGAGCTCTTGCGTTAGATGAGTCGTCTGGAGAAGCAGCACAATAATAATCTGCCTAATGACGCCACCAGGGACCGGACCGGCCTTCCAATCGGGACCGACAGAACTTCACAGAACCATGGCAAGAGCAGGGGGCGTTGGGGGTGGAACCAGAACCGGTGCGGAAACAAATGTGATTAACACCGGGGACAAATTACATCAAATCCGTGAGGCGTTCAGGGCAGCGGCTGTGTGGGAAATCAAAGCCATAGAGCAACGTCTGCGGCTGCCCTGATTAATCAATTACTCGATTAATCAATGGTTCACGATTTTCTTCTCCTGCTAAAAGCACAGGATTTGTGCAGTTTGTTCAAATTTGAACTAAAATGCAATTTAATCCAATTAAATCCTTAAAATTAGTAATTAAAGGGAAATTTTTTTAGCTTAATGATGAGATTTTTGTTCATGTACGGCCTCCAGCGGCCTTCCCTTCCAGCCACCGCTTCATTAAACTGTCAGTGGAGGTGACATGTCTGTTTACGGCTGACATGATTGGAATCACACACACACACACACACACACACACACACACACACACACACACACACACACACACACACACACACACACACACACACACACACACACACACACACTCCTGATGGCGTTTATCTGCAGGCGAGTGTGTCGTCGCTCCCGACGCTTTCATTCTTCTGCTGCAAACTTTGGTTTAAAACGAGAAGATTCCCGGGAAGGAGCAGATAATCCCGTCTGTCGCGTTTCAGGATAAATCACCTTACATTTATTTGAAGCTTTATTTTCCTAATATCAAACGTTTACCGATTAAATATTGTTTTTATTTTTTGTAACATTATAGTTTTAATTCTATATTCCAAATAAAAATAAACACAGATTATATATTTAACAAATAAAAATATGTTAAATAGTTGGAATTTATTTTGTATTATTTTCTAATAAACACAATTTAAATTGCATTTTTTTCTACAGTGGATCACAAATCTTTTAATTTCTTTTTTACTGTTATTTTATTTTGGATTCATCGTTAACCCAAAATCAGCTTTATTTTGGAATCTTCAAAAAAGAACGGAAATAATCTAAATTTCTAACCAGTAACTGAACCATTCTGGTCTGGATTTAGGACTAACTGGGAGCGATCTGAGTCCAGGAGCTCATCTCCTCCGCCTACCTTTATATTCGCTGTCTGATGACGAGTTGCTGTGGATCTTCTCGATGAACTCGTCCGCTACCTTGGCCGCCAGCCTCCCCGCCTCTTGGGTCGGTTGTCCGTTACTGGAATAAGGTGCGCAGGCGGCCAGGGGCTTACAGTCCGCCAGAATGTCTCTGATCAGGAACGACGAGGTCACGGTCCGCTGCTGCGACCCCGCGGAGATCTGCGCGTGCTGGAGGTGCGGCGGAAGCAGCGCGCCGTGACCCTGCCTCTGGGCCACATCCTCCACGCACTCCCTCCGGGGCGACGGCGGCGACGAGCAGCCGCTCTCCGCGTCTGATCTGGGGCTGAACTCCAGAGGCGAGCGACACTCCCCCACCAGGCCGTCCCCCTTGGAAACCGGACTTCCGGGCCGGTGAGACAGCAGCGAGTCGATGCCAAAACTGGACCCGTTGGCGGACGCCTCCATCGTTTCAATGCGGCTTCTCTTAAACGACCATTTGGTTTCAGGTACAAGTTTGATTTCAGGGAGGAAAGTTGCGTTTGGTTTAATCCCGGAGAGCAGAACCGAGCCCCCTCCTCCTCCAGCACCAAACAGAAACCAGTAAATCAGAAAAAGCTTCAGAAGCCGCTAGGATGAAGGTTTCTCCTCGGCTGCTTCCAGTTTCCCTTCTGGGTCTTTGCTGAGAAATACTTCCAGGTTCACTTCAGTCGTGAGGAGACGCGATGACTCGGTCACGACCGATTCTTTCTGCTTCCTACAGGAAGCTCGGGCTTCACTAGTCCTCACCAGGGGTCTCACCTGCGAATCAAGAACAAACCCACACCTGCAGGTCACGCAGCAGCAGCAGCACCGGCGGAGGCTTCAGCGGAACCGGACAGGCAGGCGCGTGCGCGCGCGTCAGACTCCAGAGCCGACCGGAGGAAGACTCTCAGCTCCTCGCGTGGCCATTCAAGAAAACTGTTCCTCAGAGGAGGGAAAAGCTTTGAAAACACTCGGAGTAAACGAGAAGTGTCCACGCGCTGAACGAGAAAAGGGAGGAAAAGAAGAAGAAGCGAAGGATGATGAGAGGCAGCAATTAGAGAGAGAGGAAGACAAAAAATGAGAGGGTGAGAGAGAGGGGGGGGGGGGGGTTAAAGAGTGACAACTGGTGAGTAAAGGGACGGGATGAGCCTGGGTGGGAGGGAATCCCAAAGTATTGAACTTGAGGAAAAGTCAGGAGCTAGGTTTTAAGAGCGCCTCGTCCACGTGAGTCCCCTGTGACGCGCCTTGATTGGCTGAGGAGGGCTGGACCTCCCCTCCCCCCTTTCCTCCCTCTCCTCTCTGGCTCATCCTCACTTTGATAAAAGAGACACTGAATTCATCAGGAGACTCAGATCCAACTGTTTACAGGCAATTTTCACACTGTTTGCTTTCATTACATCATTGATGAGGCTGATAATGGGGTTATTATGGAGCGGCGCGCGCGGCTCCTTCTTCTTCTACGCTCCTTTTTCTTTCACTGGCTTTGTTTTTAAGATCCCCGTTAGACAGAATTCCTTTTTATTTATCAAGGCTTCGATTTGTTTACATGTTAAATGTATTTATCTAAAGTAATGTTTATTTATTAGAAATATTTAAATTAATACACATATAATATTAATAATGATTATTATTATAAATATTATTATTATAAATAATAATAATAACGATAATAATAATAATAATAATAATAATAATAATAATAATAATAATACAGTTGATTTCTTTTTTTTGTTAATTTATAATAATAATAATAATAATAATAATAATAATAATAATAATAATAATAACGATAATAATAATACAGTTGCTTTCTTTATTTTTGTTAATTTATAATAATAATAATAATAATACAGTTGCTTTCTTTATTTTTGTTAATTTCTCAGTATAAAATAATTTATCTTTTTAAAATTCGGTTTGAAATTCCAGCAATCTCATTTTTTAGTTTTTGGATTTATTTTTCTTATTTTTAAACCAAAAATGTGTTCAAGTTTATTTTTAAAAAATCTAATCTTTATCAACGAAAGTAAACTTGTCCTAAAATAAAATACACACACTTATTTTTTATTTCCTCGTCAGTTTGTGGCAGAAACCAATGAAATCTATTAGAGAAAACGAGTCTTTAATGGTTCCCGGTGGTTCGTCCACAAAAGTTCAAAAAGACGTTTTTTAAAAACTCGTGCGCGTCACGCGCCATCGTGCCCACTCCCGCACAACAGTTTGCCCCACGCCTCGGCCTCGACAGACCCTAATAATCTAACTAACCCCCACCATCATCACCGACACACACAAACACACCCCTCCCCCTCCTCCACCCCATGTGACCACCAGATTGGAGGCGCGCGTCGGTCTCACAGACACCGGCAGGTTAGTGAATCCGCTCCCCGCTCCCATGGGGTCCCATCACGGCTGCAAGCTGTCACACGCGAGGCGGGGACAGCACAGATATAAGGCAACACACAGCCAGCCTGACTGGGCTGTTGCGTTCTCCTCTGCTGGAGCATGAAAGAGGAGCAGTGTTGTGATGCTTGCTCTCCTCTCAGCCTGTTTTTGTCTCCCTCTCTTCATCCCCGCGACCAGCTCCACTAAAGTTGTGCTGAATTAATCATGAGGCAGTTCAACAGACTTCTTCCTCTTTGTGATCATCACATGGCCTCTCAAACTTGGAGATGCCCCAAAGTCCTGCTTAATTGGATTTTACTTACAGTTTTGCGCCAACGAGCCGTCTCGTGTTTGGATTTGAGCTCGTGGCCATGAATTCTGGTGGTTTTTGTTTTTAAAAGGGTTGGATTCCTCGTGTGGGTTCTTATACCCAAACTAAAATGTGTTCTTAGTTTTTCTTAATTAAAAAAGTAAGGATCTGTCATTTTTACTCAGGTGTCAAACTGAGCTCAATTTGTAAAAGTTAGAAAATATCAAACAAATTATTTTCTAATTTTTTAACACAAAATCTGACTTAGATTAAAATTCATGTAGAGTTTTAAAATGTGCATTTCTAGGAGACTTGGGCCTGTAAGTGTGTGTGTGTGTGTGTGTGTGTGTGTGTGTGTGTTTTTGTGTGTGTTTTTGTGTGTGTCCTGTAATGATTTGTCTCACACTGCTACTGATTCTGAATAGTGCCTCTAAAGTCCATGGAAGTGGTCAGAGCAACTATTACTCCAGTGAAAACACACACACACACACACACACACACACACACACACACACACACACACACACACACACACACACACACACACACACACACACACACACACACACACAGTAGTATTGATCAGTGTTAAAGAGAGGAAACTGCATGACCACTCGTCCATCTCCTCCCTCAGATTAAGGTAAATCTCCTCGTTTCACAGTTTCATTTCTCAATCCGGAGATTGTAATCCAGCTCTGCTGTAGACGTTTTAACGCAGACAACAAACTAAACATGATAAACTGGCAGAATGTTTCCTCATAACAGTCCAGACTGACCTGTCAGTGGTAATAATCTAGCTGCAGACGTGTGCTTTACTCTGCTTTTTCCCTGCTCCATTAATGCTGGAATGGCACTAATAATGCCCGCCGGGCCTCCTCGGCTTCCCAGCCTTCCCTTTTTTGTGTTTAAAAAAAAGACAAAACACTGCCACATTTTTATTTACAGCCGAGCAGACGTGTTAAATATGTATCCTGATGTGTTTTGTAAAAATGTGTGTCGCCTTTGAATAAACTTTGGCATCGCTATCGTTTTGGAACATGGAGGAAGGGGGAGGGGGGGGTGCACGTGTAAAAGATGACTCTTCACAACAAACAAACAGCACCGAGAGGGTGAAAAAAGGAGGAGGTGTTTTAATAAAACACACAAACGGAAGAAAAAGAAACAGAAGACGTTTGCTCCGGAGCTGCTGCCACACCTCGGACCAGTCAAGGATGCAAATGATGCACCTTAACGCCGTCAGGTAGTGGAGTTGACAGAAAATAATGAGAACCCGCTGAATCTTTTATAAGGTTAACACTCACATTTCCCAGTCAGCTGTCACACAAGAAAGAATTTAGCACATGCATGCGGGCGAAATAAACCTTCATCGTCTCATTAATGCTGACAGGGCCCTGGACCGCCAGCTCCCCGTGCCAGCGCCGCCACTGCACCTTCGTTTTGTGTCGGTAATTTGCAGCAGAGACAGACCCCCTTCTCCTGGAGAGAGGGAAAAGGATGGGAGGAAGGGGGAGACGTTACAGAGGAGAGCCAGAGTGAGAGGGAGAAGAGTGGGGAATTGTAGAGGATCGTGGAGTGAGTGCAGAAGAAAAGAGGGAGGGAAGGTGGGCCTGGGGGGGGGGGGGGGGGGTGGCTAGCGCGCCAGGAGTCTGATTCTCCTCTAATTGGAAGCATTGGGCATTGTCAACGGAGGATTTTCAGCTGCTCACTGACAGGTAGAGCCGTCAGAATGATAGCCCACTTGTCAGCACAAAAGACCAATAAAAACAAACCACTTTTGATTTAATTGGAGGCCTAACCATGGTGTGTGTGTGTGTGTGTGTGTGTGTGTTGCCTGCAGGGCCAGGGCCACGGGGAGGTGGGAGGAGGCGTTCGTGTCTGTGTTTGTGAAAGAAATCATCGCTCCAGCCATCAACGTGCTCGACCTGCCTCATCACTCCGCCGCGTGTGCGGCTCTCATCCTGCAGCTCCCGCGGGGGCGTCTGGTCCGGTCACACCGGGCCCCCCAGTGGTGAGAGGGATGGAGGAGAAGCAGGGTTTGATTCTGTCCCAGGAGGCCTCACTGAGCAGCAACATCAGAGGACGAAAAAATAAAAAATCACTTTCTCCTTCTTTCTGAGTCCTTTTCCCGTTTTTTCCATCATCTGGTCGCTGATGGGTTCAATATTTCTGGCAATGTTTGACACGTCCTGTGCTCTGCTGTAAATGTTATTTCTATTATGTCACGTCTGTTCTACGTTTCTTATAAGGAGCTAATAATGTCCTAATTTACATATTTATGTACAAAATCTCTCCAAATCTTTTTAAACATGTGATAATTTGCCTGAGTTACCTAATTAAATCCTGACTATATGTTCATCTACCAAAATGCAATTCATCACATTTCACACCTACCTTCAAAAGCAAACATTTGATTGAATCCTCTCTGATGCAGTCACAAATTCCACTTTTCCAGCTTCAGTCGTGCACGCCGATCCCAACGTGCACTCACCTTCTTGTCCTGCTCCGTCAGCCCGGCGCTTGTAACCCTTGCAGCCAGTGTTTTATTATTTCTGACAGAGTTCAGTGAACACATCTGGTCAGAGGATAAGAGGCGATGGAGGGATGGGAGCGAGAGGTGGAGAGGTGAGCGTGGTGCCAACGGAGATGAGCATGGGGAGCCAGAGGACGAGGAGCCATGAGCATCAATCATAAACGTCCCTCATGAGGAATGCCAGCTCCCTCATCTGTGGCCAACTCTAGCTGACCTTTGACCCAGCAGACTCAAACTCTGAAGTTCATCAGGAATGTGCTGGAGGATCTTTGGGTTTATTGGACTATGTAGGAAACATTATTTCTGATTGGCTTAATGACCTGACCTGAATTGGAATGCTTATTATGTGAAGGTCCTTGAGACGACTCTTGTCGTGATTTGGCGCTATATAAATAAACTTTAATTGAATTGAATTGAATTGATGAATGTTTTTTTGTATTATAATTATTTTTGCCACTGATTTTTATTTAATAACAGCAGAAAATGTTCATTTTTGGCATTTATACAAAAGATTTTGGTCAGTTTTGTTTGTTTGTTGTCAGCAACACATGTGGCTGGATCTGGAGAAGTCTGAAAATTGTGCAATGGCAGTTTGGACTGTTGATTTATTTAAAATAAAAATTTTAAAACATATTTCAGCACATTACAAAAAAAAAGGTTCATTATTTTCTCTCATTTCTACTAAAGCTAACGTAGCCTGGCCTATTGTTAATGTCATTTATTTTAATAAATCATGATGTACAGTTAATGTTTCACTAACCGTTCCCACATTAAAGGATATTTTCCTCTGGAAGAAGAAGGCACTGAACAAAACATCTCTTGCTGTTTACCGTAGCTAAGCTAAGGTTAGCGTAACCCCAAACTGAAATTTAGCCTGGACACCTGTTGATATCTCAGCATTTGTTTCCTTGGGACAACTTCACTTCATATGGAATTTGGTTTGTG